ACTTAACGTCCTTAAATTTGTCTCCGGTATTAGATGGGGATCTGACCCAGGCACACTAATTACGCTATACAAAAGCCTAATACGTTCAGTTATTGAATATAATTGCTTTATCTACTTTCCTAAACGCGAGTCGCATCTTCTACGGATTGAAAGAATTCAATTTGCAGCTATTCGTATCGCTTTAGGGTACAGAATTAGTACTCCGACTAACATCCTCCTTGCAGAATCCAAGTTATGGTTCCTTCAGGATACGGCTGCGTTCCTGTGCAATAAATTCCTCGCCACCAAGTTATCTTACAGAGAGGGTGATCTATATAAAGTAATAACCGGACTCCATACATCCCCACATTGGAATAACATACTTCAAAAATCCCTTTCGATGATTCCATCTCAAATTAATTCGTTTCTCCCCCTTAAAGATTTCCTCAGGCTCGAAACTAACTTTCGTTCCTATACTATGAGTTATAATGTTTTATGCTCAGGAGCTAAGCTGGTCATTGAGCTTGGAGCCCTAATTAAAAACTCTCCTAAGCCCAATATCACATTTATGGACCACTGGAACTCCAAAGCACTCGACTCCATTTCTTTCTTTACTGACGGGAGTCGGGATCATGATCAGGAACGTGTCGGTGCTGCGTTCCTTTCTCCTGAAATGGACGCTTCATCTCGTTTAGGTTTAAATAAATTTATTTCATCTTTTACTGCAGAGAGCATAGCAATTAAAATCTCCCTGGAATTTGCTTCCACGCACTCATATAGTAATATCTTTATATATTCAGATTGTCTTAGTGCACTACTCACAATCTCCAACCCTCACTTTGGCGTCAAAATAAATCCCATTGTTTAAATATCGATTAAAATGCGAAATTTAATTTAAATCCGAAACAATTCGTTACCCGGTTTGTTTTCGGTTACGCGACCGACCAGGAAGATTCTAGGTCGACGCGTCCGCTATTCAAAATATTAGAGGACAGAAAAACACGGTTCTCGAGGTTTTCTGCAAAGTCACGCGAACGATTAATTAACGTTCAATTTTGAAACAAGCGGTTTAAACGCCCGAGTTTAGAGAAGGTACGAAAACTATATAATAGACAGAGACGGACGAGAGACACGGCGACAGCGCCGCGTGACGGAAGACTCTCCCCACTCACGCGCTCACTTTGGCAGCTCGTGCTCGTCCGTCACTCGCTATCAAACCACTGCCACGAGCACTTCGGTATCCGAACACGCTCAGCAGTCGAATAAACGAATAATTCGAGCAACCCGACCCGAGTCGAGTTCTTCGACTACCCTCGGAGTTGTAAAAGAATTATTCACGAGTTATCGTATCGAGCCAGTCGGTACCCGACCGAGCTCTGTAAACAGACTTATTTAATTCGGAATAGGCTTGAAGTAATTCGAGTGCTTCCGGGGAATCGATCCATAAACAGGTGTGGGAAGAAACCCTGAGTGGACTCAATCGTTTCCCCAGGGATAGAGGGCTAAGCTCATCCCAATTTATAGGTGCGAGGTTTTTCGCACTTTTCTTAGTGCACGACTCCATAATCCAGGTGTGGGAAGAAACCCTGAGTGGAATCATCGTGCACTAGAGGATCGAGATACAAACTCCTTCCTCCAATTGGCTGTCAGAAACGGCTTCGAACCCACCATACAGGAGTGAATAATACCCTGGGTGGATTTGCCGTCTTCCAGTCGAAGCGGGACACTTTTTTAAACCCCAGCTATCGGCGAAAGCTAGGACACGTCCAAACATCTCCAGGGAGTACGGTCCCTGTGCGTAGGACGGAGCATCCGACAAAGCAACGTGGTCTCAGGCACAACCGTAAGTCGACCTAAGGGCGCCGTTGACAAGCCTGCACCACACAGTGCCGTACGCACTTACGAAGGCGGTGAAGGGCCGGGGACCGGCTGAAAGGTTGGAGCCTTACAACCTCCCTCCGATCACCTTTTCCTGCGACAGTCATACATCAAAGTCTTAAATTGCAGTCAGAAATTGCAGTCGTGAAATTAGACGAGCAGAAATCTCGTACACGACAATAATAAGCAAGCGATTCCCGATTTAACGGGAACGCTCACACATACAGTCCACTAGCTTAGCTGCGCATCGCGGCGGCTGAGATCCCCGCTCCTGGGTGCGACAAGCACAGACCAGACGAGCGCGGAAGAAAGTAAGACACACAGCGTGACTCACGTTCACAGGTATTTAACGCCTATTCGTGTCTCTTTCTGTTACAGGTTTACCAAACAGGATTAACTGCAGCGGCGTCTGGCCGGGCAGATAGTAAATACGTAATCTCTGTTGTCAAACGTTTCGAAATAAAAGGCTTAGTCGAGTCATTCGACTAAGCGAAAATTAAATTAAAATCTGTATTCTTTTCACGACGTTCCTTCCCTCACGATCCGGACCACCGTTAGGCGAGGTTTTTTCAAACCTACTCCCCCTAACACCCATTATTAGTGATATTAAAGTAATTCTTCATAATCTTTCACTTCGTGGCAAAAAAGTTTTCTTTTATTGGATTCCGGCTCACTCTGGTATTTGTTTTAATGAGGAAGTAGATAAACTGGCAAAGGAAGCTTCTAATCTTTCCGCTCGGAGTGACATTTTAGTCCCACACTCAGACTTCTCCCAGAACTTTAGAAGGTCGGCTAAGTCCAAAACTGAAAGTTGTTTATTCGTACAGGCCACTTATAAAGGCTCACAGTATTTTGAAAGGTATTATAATTCTCTGTCGGTCCCATGGTTCACACACAAATCTCTTCCCAGAAAATTTATTACCTTTGTTAACAGATTGCGTGCTAACCATATACAATTGGCCTCCTCTCTCTATAAAATCAACCTTGCCTCTGATCCCAAATGTGATTGCGGCTATCCTGAACAAGAGCCTAATCATATTATCTGGCAATGCCCACAGTTTGATGTTGGCAGAAGCGAAATGATTACTAAACTATGTTCATTAAATTTTTTCCCCCCTTACACGGTTAACACTTTTCTTTTTCGACCAAGTATCTCCTCGGTAATGGTTATTTTCAAATTTCTAGAAAGTCATTGTATATATATATAATCTAAATCAGCTGCTGATTTTCTGTAATTTATAATTCTTTATGGATAAGTGTATTCGGATAATCTCAATGTAGTTGTTTAAATATCGCGTTAATTCGATGCGTATAAGAATAGTAAAATATTATTCGTCACCCGGTATTGTTTTTCTGCGTATGTAACCAACTCGAGACTGTTCGACTCTCGTGTCCGCTACGCGAAAACAAGACAGGTTATAAAAACTGTCACATACGGATTTCTTCGAAACATCACGCGATCCACGAAATTACGCGTGATTTCGAGCTAACGTTTCGGCGCGTGTATAAAGAGAAGGTACGACAATAATAAGTTGGACAAAGACGAATTCAAATTCGTCTACAGCGCCGCTAGTCGGAGATTCGCCCCTCCGAATTCGACTAACCGTGCTGGATCGTCACTCTGAATTTGGAATCGGTAGAGAGCACATGGGCATACGAACCCGCTCCCCCTTAAATTCCAAAACGGCCGACTAGTTCCGAGCTCCTCGAACTATCGGAGAAATTACCAACGTGGTACGGAAGTTAACACGAAAAAACGGATAGGCAATCCATCCGGTAACGTCTTAACTTCCAAACACGTTAATTTATTTCAATTAAAGTTAGAGTCGGAAGCGAAAGAAAGGTCTCGACGAAAACGGATAGGGAACCCATCCGGTGCCGTCGATACCTCCATAATCGCTTACCTATTAAAAAGATCAGATCGGAATACGACCTGATTAATTAATTTATTGACTGTAGAATCTCGCAGGTTAAAATCCGAGATTTCGAATTCAGCAGTGGGTACGATCCACCTCAGCCTGAATACAGACACGTATCGCTGTAATCAGAGGTCGTGTCCGAAGTATTCAGCAGTGGCTACGACCCACCTTGGTCTGAAAAATAAAAAGTAAAAGAAAACACGTACCGCTGCAATCAGAGGTCGTGTTTAAGGTATCGAGGTTGACTCTCGTACCTCTCTTGTAAATCCAACGGTTCGTAACCCACAATCCAGGGGTGTATAAAATACCCTGGGTGGATTTACCACCTTCTAGTCGAAGTGTGGGACAACTTTCACTCCCAGCTTACGACGAACAGCAGAATACCTCCAAAGATCGCCAGTCTAGTACGGTCACTGTGCGTAGGACGTTAATTCATTAAGCTACGTGGTGTCCGGCCCAATCGTAAGTCGACCCAAGGGCGCCGTTGGCACACCTGCATCACACCGTGCCCGTACGCACGCCATAAGGTGGTAAAAAAGGGCCGAGGAGCGGGTACGGTTGCAGCCTTACAACCTCCACCCGTTACCCTCTCCTACGACAGTCAAAACCTGCAGTCGAGGAAGAAACGAGGTTGAATCTCGTCTTCCCAAAACTGCAATAAGAAGTTCCCTTTAAATTAAGAATTTAAAGGGAACGCACAACATATACAGTCCACTAGCTTAGCCGCGTAACGCGACAGCTGATTTTCCCGCTCCTGAGCGCGACGAGCATAATCAGGAGCGCGTGTATATTAAAACGAGACGGAAAGCGTGACTCACGTTGCCGAATATTTACACATCGTTCCGTCTCTTTTCGTTTCAGAACAGCGTGACACGAGCAGCCGCCAGACGACGGCCAGGCGGATCACGCGTCGCCAAAATACATAAACGGCTGTATTTCAAGGGCCAAATAAAAAATAAAAGACGTCGTCGAATTTTCGACGACGTGAAAATCTATATAACGTGTGATAATTACTTTTCCATCCTCCTATTCCCTCGTGATCCGGACCCCCGTTAGACGAGGTTCTCAAATCAGTGTTTGAGCCCTCCACATTCTAACATAAGGTCCTTCGAGCCGGATCCATACGAGGTTGAAAGGAATAAAGAAAAGTACATTTTCTCACACGTGTGGAACTACCCACGTAAAAGGTTTTTTCGAGCGGTTTAATCCTCGAAAACGCTCACTATGGCCGTATCACAGCAATCCATAGAAATCGATCTCGATGACGAGATCGAAGACTTGGTCGATCTATGTGGTCAGCTCAAACGGTTGGGTGTAAACCTAAAAAAGTTGGGACGAGCGAAGTACTCAGAGCGTTTGCTTGAGGAAAAACACGAGCACGCTAAAGAAACTTGGCGTGAGATACGCACTAAGTACGCTAGCGTGCGTAAACAAATACCTGCAGCGGAAAGACCGTCTCACGATCTTTTCAAGCTAAATTATATGAGGCATGCCGAGGACGATTTCCAAGATTTTCAGGATTTCGTCCTTACTGAACTAGGCCGACTGAGTGCTGAGTCGAAACCAGCAATGTCGGAAGTTCAGTGTAGTATACCGATCGAGCTCCCGAAGCAACGATTACCCAAATTCGGAGGGGATCCTCAAGAATGGGAACATTTCGAGGATCTGTTCACCTCCGGGGTCGTACGAAATGCAGGACTGTCAGATGTGCAAAGATTGCATTATCTGAACGCCTGCCTAGAGGGACCCGCTCTAGCGTCCATTGCTTCAATCGAGATCGTCGGTCGTAATTTCTCAGTGGCGTGGACAAGGTTGAAGAACACCTTCGGCCTCCCACGCATAGTCACGGGAAAACTGCTGGATAAGCTCCTGTTCCTAAAACCCATTGACACCGGTGATCTGGCCAGCATGCAGCAGATCACCGTGGGTTGCACGCAGGCACTCGCTGCCCTTGACAAAAAGGGCACGCCCGAACAGCAGCGGGACTGGCTACTCGCGCATTGGGCGAAACAGAAGTTTTCGCCGGCGCTCGAGTTAGAGTGGCAAAAAACGCTAAATCTCTCGACAGAATATCCTACGTTTGAGGACGTACGAAAATTCATCGAGATGCACTCACGCGCACTGCTCTCCATGGACGAGAAGCGCCGCGCGGTTGCACTTGCGTCTGTCACGAAACCAAGCGCACGTAGTCATAGCGCGACTCGGGAATCGAGATCGGCCTCGAGACACGTGCGCAGCCATAATGTTGTCGTGGACAACGTCCGGGCGGAAAAGCCACGGGAAATGTGTCACGACAACAGGCACAGTGGGGCGACGTCTATGAAATTATGCGGATTCTGTAACGGGCCGCACAAATTGACGCAATGCCAGAACTTCGTGCGATTGACTGCTAAAATGCGCAGTCATTACGTAAGAAATCATGGGTGGTGCGTACAGTGTCTGGGCACCACCCATATAGGCACGAAGTGCAGAAGCCCCACGGCATGCACGAAGTGCAGCGGAAGGCACCATCCCCTGCTGCACTTCGAAATATTCCGGGAATCGCAATCTCAGCCGTTACCGGTAAACGAGTACGGCGAGAGAGAGGAAACGAGCTCACGAGCCCCTCCCCGGCGGCCTGCGAAATCCAGGCCACACACCAAAACCTCGTCGAGCACAAACACAACCAAAGCCACGACGTCGCACTGTACGACGTTCGGTACAGGTGTACCGAGGCCCGTGTTGTTGGCTACGGCTCGAGTGCGAGTGTATGGGAAATACGGTGCGACGCGCATCGCGCGCGCACTGCTAGATCAAGGTTCGGAAACTTCGTTTATTTCCGCAAGTTTGGTGAATGACCTCCAACTTGTACGAAGGAAAACCCCAGCCACGGTAACGGGCTTGGGAGGAGACCGAACGACAACGATCAAATACAGTGTCGGGATGTGTCTCAGCGCGAAAAAAGGTAGAACACCGACCTGTACGGTCGACGCGTACGTCGTGCCCAGAATCACGACCTACGCACCCACGTCCTTGAAACCGCTCGGCTACGAAGCGTTCCGGGACCTACCTCTCGCCGACCCCGACCACAACGCTGATCAAAATATTGAAATTTTGATCGGCGCGGACTTATATGCACAGATTATGCGACCGGGATTCCGTCGCATAACAGCGGAAGGTCCGATAGCCCAAGAAACTGCATTCGGCTGGGTTATTTCCGGACCGATACCTGCAGTGGGCAAAACCCAGAATCCAGTACGGACGCTACACTGCACCGTACTCGAATCGCTGGATAACGCCATTCGAAAATTCTGGGAAACGGAGGAAATTCCCGCAACCTCGGTGCGTACAAAGTCCGAGGAAGATTGCGAGGCATTTTTCCGAAAAACCGTCGTCCGTGACGAAACTGGGAGGTTTCTAGTTCGACTCCCTTTCAATTGCCCGAGACCGGAGGAGGCGTTAGGAAATTCATTCCATATCGCGCTCTCGGCACTCACAAGGCTACGAAAGAAATTAGACACGAACCCGGTTCTCGGTAAAGAATACTCGGAGTTTCTAACCGAGTATGAGTGGCAAGGTCATATGACTCGTATCGAGCCTATTGACCGATCCAGACTCTATATACCACACCGAGCGGTCATACGTACGGACAGTACGACCACAAAACTACGGGTCGTATTTAATGCAACCAGTAGGACGACTGGAGGTCGCTCCCTAAACGACATCCTACACGTAGGTCCGAAATTACAAAACGACATCACCTCGGTATTGACGAGGTGGCGTTTGTATGAATACGTGTTGGTGGCCGACATCGAGAAAATGTTTAGACAAATTCTCGTCGCCCCACAGGATCGTCGATTCCAATGCATCGTATGGTGCGCTCCAGAAACCGAACAGCTGAAAGCGTTCGAGTTAAATACCGTGACATACGGAACGGCGTGCGCCCCGTACTTGTCGATGCGTACCCTTCTCGAATTAAAAGAGCAGGATGGGAAAAAATTCCCCTTAGCCGCTCCGATTCTCGAGAAGGACATTTACGTCGACGATGTATTTATGGGAGCACCAGATAAACCCTTGCTGGAGAAAATTCGCAAGCAAGTATGCGAGCTTCTGCAAGGGGGTGGGTTTCAGCTGAGAAAGTGGGCAGGAAATTCGCCGCAGCTACTGCAAAATATCCCCCACAGCGCTCACTCCCACGCCGTAGACCTCACCTTGTTCGAGGATTCCGAACTAAAAGTGCTCGGTCTACGATGGATCCCGTCTGGAGATTATTTTTATTTCAATCTCCAACGGTTTCAACCATCAGCAACGCCGATGACAAAAAGGAATTTGTTCTCGGAAATTGCCAAGCTGTTCGATCCGCTCGGCTGGTTATCACCAGTCGTAATTCGCGCGAAGGTTTTGATGCAGTCCCAATGGCTGGAGAAAATCCAGTGGGACGACCAAATCTCAGCGAATACGCAACGAACGTGGAATGCGTTTTGCGCGGATTGGAGCAGCTTAAAGAAATTAAAAATTCCCCGATGGATACGTTACGGAGCAGATACTGTGTCCGTGGAGTTGCACGGATTCTGCGACGCTTCACTCGCAGCCTATTCCGCCGTCACGTACTTGCGCGTGACGACGACAAACAATGACGTTTTTACGACATTAATGATGGCAAAAACGCGGGTGGCTCCGATTAAAACGCAGTCCATCCCCGTTCTGGAATTGAACGGGGCTGTGCTCCTCTCCGAGCTCGTCGTGCACGTAAAACGGTCACTGTCCTTGAAGGTAGACCGTATTATCTGTTGGACAGATTCTACGATTGCACTCGCTTGGTTGAGAAAGCATGCGTCTACATGGAAGGTTGTGGTTGCCAACCGGGTGTCAAAAATCCAGACTATGCTTCCGAACGCTGAATGGTATCATGTTCCCACCCGCTCAAATCCCGCAGATTTAAATTCGCGTGGAGTAGAAGCGGCGGAACTTCTTCAGTCGGAACTTTGGATTTCCGGGCCGTCGTGGCTTCGACAGGCGGAAGAAAGTTGGCCAAAAATGCCCGCTTCACTCGAGACCGAGGAGGGTAAACGCGTTTCGCATACCCTTGTAGCAACTCCGGAGAAAGAATGGGAGTTTGTCTTCCGATTCTCCAAATGGAATAAGCTACTACGCGTCACCGCCTACTGCCTTCGGTTACGAAGGGCACGGGACGGAAAGCGTCGGTCATACGACGCCAAGGTTGTCGAAGCATCGGAAATGCGGCGTGCAACGGAAAGAATTGCACGCTATTTACAACGCACGCACTTTGCAGACGAATACCAATGCTTGAAAAAGCACCGTATTATCCCTGCAAAGTCTCCATTAAAAAGCCTAAACCCCTTTCTCGACGACAGAGATGTCTTAAGGGTGGGTGGAAGGTTGGAGAATGCTGCATTAACATGGGAAACCAAACACCCGATAATTCTGCCAAAGCACCATGTTTCGAACATGATAATAAGGCAATGCCACGTGGACACGTTGCACGGGGGTTTGCAACTGACCATGTACACGGTGAGACAGAAATTCTGGATCATCGGAGGTCGTAACGCAGCGCGTACGGTTATCCAAAAATGCATGCGATGCGTGAGATGGAATGCAACCACCTCCACGCAGTTAATGCAGGATTTAATACCGGAACGCAGCCGAGCAGCTCGACCTTTCTCGAACTGCGGAGTGGACTATGCGGGACCATACCGAGTCCGAGACTCCGCAGGGCGTGGGAAAACGGCTCATAAAGCTTACATAGCAGTGTTTATCTGTTTCGCTACAAAAGCCGTCCACGTCGAACTCGTTCACGATTATACCACGAGTGCATTCCTGGCCGCCCTTGACCGATTCATCGCCCGTCGAGGAGTTCCGTCCTGCATGTTCAGTGACAACGGAACAAACTTCGTCGGAGCGGATAGAGAATTGAGAGAGCATTTTAATATCGTGTATAATACACACGAAATGCGGAGTACGTGCAGCCAGAAGGGTATTAAGTGGAAATTCAATCCACCCAGTGCACCACATTTTAGCGGTATGCAAGAAGCCGGCGTGAAATCGGTGAAACATCACCTAAAACGCATAATCGGCGACTTCACTCCCACGAGCGAGGAAATGCAGACCTTGCTCTGCAAAATCGAAGCGAGTTTAAACTCAAGACCGATCGCCGCATTGAGTGATTGTCCCGAGGACTATGCACCTCTCACGCCGGGCCATTTTTTAATCGGATGTCCGATAAACGCACTTCCGGTTGAGTCAGTGGAAAATGAAAATCTCTCGCGGCTCACGCGATGGAGAGCGATTCAGAAATTCCACGAGCAACTCTGGAGACATTGGACGCGTGATTATCTCATGCACCTCCAAAACCGCTATAAGTGGCGTAACGCTCAATTGCAGTTAAAACCAAACGATTTGGTTTTAGTGCAGAACCCTCTTCTACCCCCCAATCAATGGGAAATCGGGAGAATCGAGGAAATATTCCCGGGTAAGGACAGGCTCGTGCGGGTTGTAAAAGTACGCACAGCCACTTCCACCTACACACGACCGATCACACGTCTGTGTAAATTGCCCGTGGAAGAGTCGACACAGACAAAGACGACGCTATCGGGACAGAAGAAATCCCGAATCACAGGTTAGAACGAGACAGGAAGTGAGATCCGCCGTTGGTAAGAGCAACGGTGTTGATTACCACATATCCCGCGTCTTGGTGACAATCGGTGAGAGGGGAACCTATTCCCTACCATCCCGGTAACAATTAAGGAAGGGAGCGATTCGCGCGCGTCCTAGGTTTTAAAAGCAGGACCCGTCGGCCGAATTCGCTTAGTTCCAAGTTACACGCGGAAACATTGAATCAAAAAAAAGAAAACATGTCTTCGAGCGATGAAAGCGTCGAAACGGTGGTGGAGTCGCCACGCGACACCCAAATCGACGAGCAGTTCGACCAATTGCTCCGGTTGGTCGACACCAACCGCCCACTACCGGCCCCCCCGGTGACGGAGGGACCACAGGCCGGAACGTCGGCCACCGTGGAGACGCCAGCACCGGCCCAGGAATTCATCCTGAACCTGGGTCAGGATGTACTAAGGATCCCCGCCCACGTGCCGTGGACCACCCGGAGGATGAAGGCCAAGGTGCCCGGAGGCTTCTTCCGATTGAAGTGGGCGAGGGGAGGGCGATTGATCGCCTGTAACTACCGGGCCAACGACGGCCCGCCACCCCCGAGGAGTACTGCAGGCCAGGCGTCAGGAGCGGGAAGCCGCCCGACGCCGCCCGCACCACCCACAAGGAGGGAGAGCAGGCCGAACCGGGCTCGGGGCAGGCAGAGGCGCCAAGGGCCCTCTGGTGCCCAACGTGGGGCCGAAATCGACCAGGCCGCGCTGCAGGAGGCGGTCCTAACAACCCTCCACATCCTGGAGGCAAGACGGGCCATCTCTCGCCGTTAAGTAAGTACCTTAATTTTTCAATAAATTAAGTGTATGTCGACCTTCTCGGAAGCGGATCAAACGTGACCACGAATTACCGCTCCTCTGGATTATTGCACGGACCGTGCAAGGGGGGCGGTATGTTTAAATATCGCGTTAATTCGATGCGTATAAGAATAGTAAAATATTATTCGTCACCCGGTATTGTTTTTCTGCGTATGTAACCGACTCGAGACTGTTCGACTCTCGTGTCCGCTACGCGAAAACAAGACAGGTTATAAAAACTGTCACATACGGATTTCTTCGAAACATCACGCGATCCACGAAATTACGCGTGATTTCGAGCTAACGATTCGGCACGTGTATAAAGAGAAGGTACGACAATAATAAGTTGGACAAAGACGAATTCAAATTCGTCTACAGCGCCGCTAGTCGGAGATTCGCCCCTCCGAATTCGACTAACCGTGCTGGATCCTCACTCTGAATTTGGAATCGGTAGAGAGCACATGGGCATACGAACCCGCTCCCCCTTAAATTCCAAAACGGCCGACTAGTTCTGAGCTCCTCGAACTATCGGAGAAATTACCAACGTGGTACGGAAGTTAACACGAAAAAACGGATAGGCAATCCATCCGGTAACGTCTTAACTTCCACACACGTTAATTTATTTCAATTAAAATTAGAGTCGGAAGCGCAAGGAAGGTCTCGACGAAAACGGATAGGGAACCCATCCGGTGCCGTCGATACTTCCATAATCGCTTACCTGTTAAAAAGATCAGATCGGAACACGACCTGATTAATTAATTAATTGACTGATCCAAAGACTGTAAAGATCTCGCAGGTTATAATCCGAGATTTCGAATTCAGCAGTGGGTACGATCCACCTCAGCCTGAATACAGACACGGATCGCTGTAATCAGAGGCCGTGTCCGAAGTATTCAGCAGTGGCTACGACCCACCTTGGTCTGAAAAATCAAAAAAGTAAAAGAGAACACGGATCGCTGCAATCAGAGGTCGTGTTTAAGGTATCGAGGTTGACTCTCGTACCTCTCTTGTATATCAAACGGTTCGGAACCCACAATCCAGGGGTGTATAAAATACCCTGGGTGGATTTACCACCTTCTAGTCGAAGTGTGGGACAACTTTCACTCCCAGCTTACGACGAACAGCAGAATACCTCCAAAGATCGCCAGTCTAGTACGGTCACTGTGCGTAGGACGTTAATTCATCAAGCTACGTGGTGTCAGGCCCAATCGTAAGTCGACCCAAGGGCGCCGTTGGCACACCTGCATCACACCGTGCCCGTACGCACGCAATAAGGTGGTAAAAAAGGGCCGAGGAGCGGGTACGGTTGCAGCCTTACAACCTCCACCCGTTACCCTCTCCTACGACAGTCAAAACCTGCAGTCGAGGAAGAAACGAGGTTGAATCTCGTCTTCCCAAAACTGCAATAAGAAGTTCCCTTTAAAAGGATTTAAAGGGAACGCACAACATATACAGTCCACTAGCTTAGCCGCGTAACGCGGCAGCTGAGTTTCCCGCTCCTGAGCGCGACGAGCATAATCAGGAGCGCGTGTACATTAAAACGAGACGGAAAGCGTGACTCACGTTGCCGAATATTTACACATCGTTCCGTCTCTTTTCGTTTCAGAACAGCGTGACACGAGCAGCCGCCAGACGACGGCCAGGCGGATCACGCGTCGCCTAAATACCAACAAAAGGCTGTACAAATTTAAAAGGGCCAAAAAATAAACGGCGTCGTCGAACTTTCGACGACGTGAAAATCTATATAACGTGTGATAATTACTTTTCCATCCTCCTATTCCCTCGTGATCCGGACCCCCGTTAGACGAGGTTCTCAAATCAGTGTTTGAGCCCTCCACATTCTAACAGTAGCTATATATTCAAAATGTATTACGCATTTATATGCGTTGCTAATAATCCTGTACAGGGTTACACAGCATTCAATATCCTTCATGAATATTATGATAAAAATTCTCCTGCGGATTGCGAGCTGTTGACATTTGCAGTGGATAATATGTTTATACGATGCTATTAATAATTAAATAATTTTTTATATACAATATATTATCATTTAAAACATATATTATTTCTCCAATTTTATCCGTCTTCCACCATCTCTCTCCTCGCCACCTAATTCTAAGATGCAACGTTTCAAAAGTCTTATATTTCATTCGGGCGTTCTTCATGCAGCTAAATGATGTCATTCGGCGCGTCTGCTCGAGGGGGTTCAAATTACATGCAATCGCGCGTTACGCTGCGACGTTAAGATTGAAATAAACATTTTGAAGAATGATTTGCTTCAGAATAAATACAATTGCAAATATTGCATATCAATGTCATTTTCTCCGATCGATGCGGCATTGATTCGCTACATATCGATTCGCGCGGGGGTGGACCAAGGTTGTCCCTCCCCTCGAATTTCCGGTGGTGAATCGGAGTCTGAAAAAAATTTCGGGGATCATTCCCTCCGTCTGAAAAAATTTCCGACGGTGGTACAGGTCTGGAGAGGTCTCCGCGGCGGCTCGGTCTGGACTAATCCCCTCCACGATTGCGCTATCCCCCCACTCCGCAGCTTGTGCGCGTGCAACCAATTTTCCACTCCCCGCAGGCCCCGCGCCCAGGGTTCCCCACGCCACACCAAAACTTCTTCCGCACTCCGCGCCCCCCTCATCATCCAGGGTTAGAACCCGCCTTATTATACTACTTACTCATAATATAATCATTCTAAAAATCGTATTTCATTAATTTTTTGAACATTGAAACATGCGGCCCAAAACTTAATACAAAATCATGTGGCCCATAATATCATACGAGTTTGACATGCCTGGCTTAAAAAATGCAATTTATTTTCCTAATAAGGATGACATTTCTAAGAATATTCCAATTTGTTTTAATAATCTCAAGAGATGTGAGAATTGTATTACACTGCACAAAAATATTTAAACAAAATCCTAAAAATTTATGTCGCCAAATAGCAACTTATTCACAGTATAAATGTACATATATGTAGTATCAAGTAAGTGACCGGAGTGACTCCTGGCGGTCTTATATGTTTTATAAGTAACATGTATGGTGGTAGAACTTCCGATAATGTAATTTTTGAACAAAGTAACATCATTAATTATTAAGAAAAAAATGACGCTATCATGGTTGATAGGAGACTTACAGTTGATAAATTGTGTAAAGACAATGACATAAAATTGATTCGTCCTCCTTTCTTGAGAGAAAAAACACAATTGTCGAAGGAAGAAGCACTTTTTGGTGCTGAGATTGCCAAAGCTTGAGTGCACATTGAGCAATCTAACCGGAGACTCAAAACATTTAAAGTTTTAAGTTACAAAATGCCTTCAGGCTTAGTTAAGAAGGGTGAACAAATATTTACCATTATATGTGGAATTATAAATTTGGACTCAATAATTTTAAAACGATAAATTTAATGAATACACATGTTAATACAAAAAACTTAGCGTTCTTCATTAACGTGTTGAATTTGTGAATTCCAATAGACCATTTAGCGATAAAAACATTATTGCATTTTTAGAAACACCTTTCTTGATTTCTACAACATATTCGAAAATCATCAAAATCGGCGAGATCCCCCCACCACCCTTTGGAAATAATTACCGAAAAATAAGCGAAACTGTTCTTAAAAATAACGTGTGTCATTTATTATTTGCTAAGATGTTTTGTAAAATGATTTTTCTTCAAACCAGAACTCCTATTTTGGTAAATACATAATACACGCGATATCTCGTCCGTGACGTCGTGCAACAGAAACCGTTTCGCGGGATGTCTCGCTCGTGGTCGCGAAGCGGTTAAATGATAAATACTGTTACGACAGGATTCTATCAGCATTGGTAAAGGAAAATTTTCTTAGACTTACTTGGTTTATTCCGCTTCGTGAGACCGTGTGGCGGCCAGACAAAAGAGCTTCAAGTAGCACTGCCGGCGTGGATCTATGACGTCCAACGTGGGGCTGGAACGCCTGTTACCTCATGTCGACAACTTGTTGATCCGGCTCTTGCGTCCACACGATAAAGCTGCGGCCAAGGGACGAGAGCGTCAAGAATGCCAAGGATGCTGTGTGTCACCCCAATGAGAAGCGGTAATCCACGACAGTGGGTTAACAATTTTAATTATTAAAACATAGACAGTAATTATTACGCACAACGCGGTCTTTGTTCGATGCGG